TTCCATTTTCTCCTATACTCGGTTTTTATCTTCTTTAGCTTCCGGCTTCAGTTCAGTTTAACGGAAGTTCATGGGTTCCAAGACCAGCTAATGTGTGATAATTAAACTACTTACATCAAGAAATCATGTGATAATCATGTGCACACTTTTCCAACATTAATATCTGTACGTCACCCCCTATAGAAAATCGGCTGGAGTCTGATAATTTATATAATTTTAAAAATTGATGTGGTTTACTAGAATGTGAATTAGCGTTTAAATGTAAATTAAAAATCGACAGATTAACTAAACGATATAAGAAATAATTGAATGGTAAACAAAAGCATAACAAAAAAAAGAAAAGAATTTGCTATCTCACAATCCTTCCCTTTTCGGAAACCGAAGTGATTACATTAATTTATACTAAACTTCCTCATACTAACATTGAATCCTTTATAGTTTCAAAAACCTTACAAGTAAAAATAATTCATATTCTTGAATCTTGAGCTTCATCTTTTCTTTCCTGCTGTAGTTCATCTTACAGAAAGTTTGAGTTCAGAGATAAGCCAGGTTGAGAAGACAAAAGTCATTAGGGTGTAATGTCAAAGGATGAGATGTGGATACACCAGAATTAGTTGTTTACTTTGTTGGGCAAATCTCCAAGCCTTCTTGCAGCATTTAATTTTGTGAAAATGCCTAGGATAAGAATGGTGTCAAGGAATTAACTGGAGAAAAAAAATTATATCTTTTAAATTAACAAAAAAAACTAATCACAACCAGCGAGTTTGGACAGTCCAATTCAATATAAAATAAATTTGAGTAAAATTGTTTACTCCAGAAGATAATGGATGTATTCATAATAATATCATTTGGAAGTTAACTACTTTTAGTTGTGACTTACCGTTACTAGCTTATCAACATTGTATCTTGTTTTCTGTATAACGTCTTGAAATAGTTGTGTTCGTTGGTTGTCTTCAAAACGTCGTTCTTTGACCCTTTATAAAAACTATTAAGTAATTCTTATAGAGCTTATGGATACGCAAGTGGTGAGGACTTTGTACTAACATGAAAGAATATACCACTAATATCAAGATTAATATTTCAATAAATATACCACTAATATCAGGATTAATATTTCAATAAATAAAAGAAATTAGAAAAAGAAAACATATGCACAAAAATACAAAACATCTAATAACAGATACTTCTCCACTAACTCTCGTGAGCAAACTTATTAAGCTCATGACAGGGTTTATATGCAAGAGATTAGAGATGTATTAACATTATTTACACTCTTTAACAACATTAATATCTATAAATCACCGATAAGGAAACTGATGTCAGTCTCATAATTTACAAACTTTACATGACGTACTTATCTAGAATGCGAGTTAGCGTTTAAGTGTAAACTAAAATTTCGCAGATTAACTAAACAATAGAAAGAACAATAAATGAACGGTAAACAAAGCCATACTGAAATAAAAACAGAATTTGCTAACTCATATTCCTTCCCCTTTTGTATTCTTACTTTTAAGGTCCTAATTATACTGACATCGTGAATCCTGCACAGTTTAAATACATATACAAAGAAACATCGTTCCTGTTTATGCATCTTCAGCTTCATTTTCTCTACGTTCCGGTTCTGGTTCAGGTTACTGGAAGTTCGAGTTAAAAGACCAGCTAATCTGCCATGATTGTTTGTTTTTTGAATATTGCGCAAAGCTACACGAGGGCTATCTGTGCTAGCCGTCCCTAATTTAGCAGTGTAAGACTAGAGAGAAGGCAGCTAGTCATCACCACCCACCGCCAACTGTTGGGCTACTCTTTTAACAACGAATAGTGGGATTGACCGTCTCATTATAACGACCCCACGGCTGTAAGGGCGAGCATGTTTGGTGGGACGGGGATTCGAACCCGCGACCCTTAGATTACGAGTCGAATTCATTTGATCATTATTTACATACCCTTTACCAACATTAATATCTGTAAGTCAACTTCAGGAGAAACTGGTGTTAGTATCACAATTCATTCAAGTTTAAAATTGATGTGAACAGCTATAATGTGAGTTAGCGTTTAAGTTCAAATTAAAGACTGGCAGTTTAAATAAACGACAGCAGGAATAAATGACCAGTAAACAAATCCATAATAAACTAAAAATATAATTTGCTACCTTACACTTATTGCGATTTAGACAAAGGAAGTGATTACATCAATCAGTCCTTTTAAATTCCCAATTGTAGTATCCTTACTTTTAACGCCGTCATTATACCGATATCATGAATCCTTTACAGTTTCAGTACAGATAGCTTACAAAGAGAAATGGGTCATATTCTTGAATCTCCAGCTTGATCTTTTCTACTCTTCTGATCTGGTTCACCTTACAGGAAGTGCTCGAGTTCGAAGATTAGCTAGGTTGAGCAGAATATAGACTACTCATAAGCATATTACGTAGAAGGATGAGATGTCGACACACCAGAATAACTCATTTATTTTATGTGAGGGTGGGGAGAACAATCTCAAATACTTCTTGTTCCATTTGATTTTATGAAAATTTGGACGATGAGCATTTCTTGTGGTGTCTGAAGATCTTAGGAAATGTACATTTTCATTTTAGACACGTAAAATAGTCTGATCATAAACATGATATAATCTTTAGTTGATATAAAAAAAAATGGAGTAGCTTCAGTAGTAACTTTGGATAATCCATTCTGAATTAGAATAAATTTTAGAATAAAGCTATATACTGCAGAAAATAACGAATATATTTATAATAATAATAATAATAGTAAGTTAACTGACAGAAAGACTTACGGTTGTAAGCTTCTCGCTGTCGCTTGCGATGCTTTTCAACGTTGGAAATTGCCTCCTGTATAACATCTCCAAATAGCTTCGTTTGTTGGGTATTTTGTTAGTAAAATGTCCTTTGAAGTTATAAAAAAATAACTAACAAAACAGTTTGCATATTGTTTGTGAATATTAACATGGGCAGGTATTCCTACTTGCATGAAATAACAATATACCATCAATACCAGGATTAATATTTCTATAAATAAAAGGAATAAGAAAAATATACAAGACAACAAAATCATTAAAGTATCGAATAATGGTGTGGAAAGAACTTTTTCTGGAGAAAATATGCACATTTTCATTTTACACACGTAAAATTGTCCTATCATCAACATGATATAATCTCCAATTGATATAAAAAAGTAGCAACTTCGAATAGTGCATTCCATCTTAGAATAAATTGGGCAAGATTTACTATAAATATAACTGGTGTATTCTTAACGATAGTAGCGAGTTATTTCCTTTTAATTGTGTCTTACGGTTGTAAAGGTTCTCGCCGTAGATTCCGATGCTTTTCAACGTTGGATATTGCCTTCTGTACAACATGGTTATGCTCGTTCATCTACGGTTGAAAGTGATGTTGGATATTTTATTTGTTGTTTCCAAAACGTCGTTCTTTGATCCATTATAAACTATCAAACAGTTTGCATGTAGTTTATGAATATGCCCATGGCCAGAACTTCGTACTAACATGAAATAACAACATACCATCAATATCAGGATTAACATTTCTATAAATAAAAGGAATAAGAAATGTACAAAACAAAATTATTAAAGCATCGAATGAATCAAACTTGACCACTATTTCCTGTGAGCAAATTTATTGAAGCTCATTACAGTTTTTGTACAAAATATTAAAAATTTATATTATCATTATTTACTATTTTTGCAACATTAATATCCAAGTCACCGTTAGGAAAAACTGGTGTCAGTCTCATTATTTATATAAACTTAACTGATGTGATTATCTTGAAGGTGAGTAAGCGTTTAAGTGAAAGTTAAAAATTTCGAGCTTAACTAAACGATAGAAAGAATAAATTAACTGCAAACAAAACCATAACGAAATAAAAACAGAATTTGCTACCTCACATTCCTTCCCCTTTCGAAAACAGCAGTGATTACATTAATCACTCCATCTAAATTCCCAATTTTCGTATCCTTACTTTTATTTCCCTCATTATAGTGACATCATGAATCCTTTAGAGTTTAATTAGATATCTTAAAAAGAAAAAGAAAAAAAACGCTTACGTTCTTGAGCTTCTCAAACTTCCTGCTCTAACTCACCTTACATGAAGTTCTCGAGTTCGAAAACCAGCTAGATTGAGCTGGACACAAGTTATTAGGAACATACATCAAATGAAGAGTGGAGACACCAGAACAAGTCCTTTCTCCTGTGGAGTGTGGAATCTGCAAGCCTTCTATCGATATTTATTTTTCTGTAAATGCCTAAAACGATGAACATTTCTTCTTTTTTCACTTTGAGACATACAAGTGTTCAGATCTGATAATGACAAAACCTTGTCGAAACGTTGTACATTTGCTGTTATGTTAAACTTATATTAAAGTTTTTGTTCATTACCCATTCAAGCCATTATTAGTCTCAAAGTGGGTTCCTCGTCATCGAATACAAGTGTTCACTTTAGAGACATAAAATCATCCTATAATTACACGTAATATGCGATATTTTTGTTAATCTAAGAATGAAGTAGCACACAGTATCTTCGAACAGTCCCTCCAATCTTGTAGAAAATATAATATAATACCTGTATAGCCTTAATAATATCATTACGTAGAAGTTAAGTACTTTATGACCGAGAGACTCTTGCGGTTGTAGGCTTGTCGCGCTCGCTTCTGCGACTTTTAATTGCTGGATCTTATTTTACATTTTAACATCAAAATAGTGTTGTTCGTTCATCTAAGTATTGATGCGTATTTTGATTAGTTGGTTCTAAAATGTCCTTCTCCGATGTCAAATATTAAAACTTTCAAACAAATCGAATACAGTTAATGAACATGTCCATATCTTTCTACTGACAAGAAAGAACCATATACCATCAATATCACTATTAATGTTTCTATAAATAATAATAAGAAAAACCAGCTTAACAAAACATTTACACAACTCCAAAATAATCAAACTGAAACTAACACATCTACACTATCTCTCACGAACTAACTTAACGAAACTCATGACAGGGTTTTATTTACTATACTACAATTCACGTGATCGTTATTTACATACTCTTTTGTAATATTAATTATATCTGTAAGTCACCGCTAGGGGAATCTGGTGTCGGTCTTATAATTCATGGGAACTTAAAATTGATGTGATTAACC